AATGCACTATGACTTCTTCTTGACAAACATAAAGAATCTTACCGAAATAAAGATGTATGATTTAACAGAATATGAAGGCTTAACGATGTCAGATGTAAAGAAAGGCAAACCAAAAAAGAGACCATATAGAGATGAAAGCACACTGACAAATGACCAGAAAGCCATTTTGGAAGCTCTTAAGCAAACAGGAAACCCAGCACTTATAGAAAGCTTTTGGAAAGATAATGGTGAAAAGAAGTTTTATAAGAAGAGAAGCGGTCAGTTCTGGAAGTATCTTTGCACATTACCTATAAATCTTGAACGCTACCAAATCTTCAATGAACTGAACAAAAGAACTGCAACACTTATGACAGAAGACAATTGTTTCGTTTATGCTTGCATTCAGGCTGGAGTAGATGGAGAGACTATTGACCACATGAGAGAAGTCATTCGTGTTAGAGACTTTCCTCAAAGTAAAGTACAAGAAATTTCTGACGCAACAGGTATAGCATTTAATGTTACCATTGGTTACTTTCAATGACTCAAGACATAATGAAATAAAGAGATACATACCAAAAGAATGTGAAACTGTTAGAACTATTGACTTACTTCTTGTTGAAGACCACTACATGCTAAACGAAAGATTACCAATGACAACATATTTCATTCGCAACTATATAGAAATTCTCAAAGCTTGTGGTGGAATGAACATTGAGAAACAGATGAAATATATACAAAGAGAGAGAACAAATATGTAGTTCGTTATGATAGAACAACCCGCTATGGGATGTTATGAAAACATTGTGGGAGTGCAAATATTTCGAACCTATTTCTTATGGAGAACTTTTCACATATACGACTGACTTATATAAACAGAACCTTGCACCATTTAAAGATTTGACATATGCTCCAAAGTATTGTGTACAACTGAAGAAGAAAGCAGAGTCAAAAGAAGTAAATAAAAATAAGTGCAAGTTCATTCCTGAGCACGTTTTCTTTGCTGACTTTGAGTGTAGTACCGATGGCTTTCATAAAGCTTTTAACATATGTTACGACAATGAAGATGGTTCAGTGAGTGAAAGCATTTGGGGTCAGAACTGTGCAACAGAATTTTTGGAACGACTTCCTGACAAGAGTTTAATATATTTCCATAACCTCAGTTATGATATAAACTTCATCTTAAGACACATGACAGAAGTGAAAGGAACTCCCATCATTAAAGGTTCACGAACAATGCAAATAACTGGCTTATATAAAGGAAGGGCAATTATTATAAAAGACTCTTACAGTGTTATAAATAAGAAGCTTAAACTATTTCCTGCTATGTTTAACTTACAAACAGGACCGAAAGAAGTATTTCCATATAACTACTACAGCAGTGTTTTGTTAGCAAATGACAACAGAACTGGTGTCATTTCTGAAGCATGTAAGTTTGTCAAGGATGCAGATACGTTCATGAAGAACATAGATTCCATCAAAGGTTGCAGAATAGATGAGAACCACTTCGACTTAGAAAAGTATAGCACATTTTATTGCAAACAAGATGTAAGAATTTTAAGAGAAGGTTTTGTTAAGTTCCGCAATGACATATTGAAAGAATTTGATTTAAACGTTTATGACTACGTTAGTATTTTGTTCTATTGCTAACAAATTGTTTGAGAACAGAGTGTACTTCCCGAATGGAAATTTATATGACCTCTCAAATAAACCAAGAGAATTTATTTCGAGATGCATTCAAGGTGGAAGATGTATGTTGTCAGATAACATTAAACAAAAGAGCGAAAAGAAACTCATTGCTGATTTCGACGCTGTTTCATTATATCCATCCGCTATAGCAAGACTTTATACTTTAGAAGGTATTCCAAAGGTTATGAAGAAAGAAATGTTAAGCACAGAGTATCTCATGAGACATTTATTTGATGACGACCAAAAGGAACCCATTGGTGAAAAGTTTATGTCTGGCTTCTTTGTTCTCATTAAGATAACAGAGATTGGAATACATAGACACTTTCCTTTAATAGTTTGTGACCCTGAACTAAATCCAGAACTTAATGTTCCCAGAAGTTCAAACACTTGCTGTTTAATGTATGTTGACCATATAACATTACAAGACCTCATAAAATATCAAGGTGTCAAATGTGAAGTGTTGCAAGGATACTATTACGATGGAAACAGAGATATTAGAATAAGAGATGAAGTAAAGAAGTTGTTTGAGTTAAGGTTAAAGTATAAGAAAGAAGGAAATCCTTTGCAAGAAAATATAAAGCTCATTCTGAACAGTATTTATGGCAAAACTATTCTATCTCCTATTGAGTCAAAAATAACCATAGTAAATGACAAAGATGCTATAAGATATGCCATCAGAAACTACAACCATATAGTGAAGTTCGAAGGTTTGGATGGTTCAGATAAAACTATTTTCAAGCTAACGAAAAGTATTTGCAGACACTTTAACTTCTGTCCACTTGGTGTTAACATTCTGTCTATGTCGAAGAGAATAATGTGTGAAGTATTCTGTACTGCTGAGGACTTAGGAATGGACATCTTTTATAGCGATACCGACAGTATGCATCTCTACAATGAAGATATCCCTCGTTTAGCTGAAGAGTTTGAGAAACGTTATGGAAGAGTTCTCATTGGTAAAAACCTTGGTCAATTTCATAGCGACTTTGCAGAAATCACACCTGGAAAACAAAGTTTAGCATACAAGTCAATATTTTGTGGAAAGAAGACTTACATAGACTTACTCACGAATGATTTAAATGAAGTTGCATTTCACTGCAGAATGAAAGGCGTGAAGCAAGATGTTATTGCTTTAACCGCTAATGAAATGTTTCCTGACTCTGTTCAGTGTTTCTATGATGAAGATAAAGGTTTAATGGTTCCGCAAGGAAAATTTGACAAAGACTCTGAGTTCAGTTTAATGAAACTTTACAAAGCACTTTATGACGGTCAAGAGATTGGATTTGACTTATGTAAGTCTGCTACACCTGCATTTGACGAGAAGTTTAACTTCTCAATAACGACTAAAACAAGCTTTATTCGTAAGTTGAAGTTCTGAGGTCATTTATTTTTGTCAGCAATGAGGTCATTCGTGATAAAAATAAGCCGCTAGCGGCAAGGGCGAAGCCCATGAGGTCATTTACAATACTGCGATGGTAGAGTTTAAGAGTTGTGCTTCAATGTAGAGACAGTCCTTATGGTCTGGAGGTAGCAAAACAGGTGCTTTATGGTCATGAGTGGAGAACATGTCTATCCAAAACTCACGATTGAAGCCAGTAAGCTTGTAATACTTAGGATTTGGCAGTGGTGAAGTTCTTGTATGACCAATGAACTCATTTTCAACTCCCTTACTTAAGTTTGAATATAATATAGCTTGCTTTCTATCCCAAATGCCAGGTGTTACAATCTTTGAAAATTCATTTTTCCTCGGAAGCATTGCATAATAATTGAAAACATTTTTGAAGTCATCATTTGGTTCAGAGATTTGAAATCTTATACGTAATGGATTTTTTTCTTTTAGCGACTTCATTGAATGGTGAGAATACAATGAATTGACAGTCATGAGTTCCATCTTCATTTTCATTAAATTCATAATGAAAGTCTATAAGTTGTGGCCGACTACCTTCTTCCTTCAGTTGTGCAAGAAACTCACGTAAAGGCTGTAAAGTTTGTACTTCAATGTTGAACTTTTTCTCGAACATCTCATTAAATGAAATCATACATTGCAACAATGTTGTATCGTCTTTAAAGTATTTGTATATGTGAATGTTTTGGGCGCTTAAAGACTGTTCGTCATTTTCTATCTCGACTTGAAGTATAAAGTCAACCTTTCTGAAAGCACGTGTTATATACATAGATGTTATGCCAATGTACTTCTCTTCATTTATGTTCACAATCCAGTCTGTTGGAAACTTAAACGTTACTCTGTTCCCCTTTATTTTGACGTCAGGGTTTTCACTACTGAACGCAACAGATAAAGGTATTTGTCTATACATTTAATTCGGATAAAAATAAACCATTTACTCTTTCTTTGCTTCAGCTTCTTTAGCTTTTGCTTCAGCTTCTTCTCTAGCTTTCTTCGCCAGCAAACGTGGGTTCTTTTGTCTTCCAGCAGCTAATGCAGCAAGTTGTTTTTCACTAAGTTTTCTCTTTGGTCTCTCTGGCTTTTGTTCTTGTTTTTGTTCCTTCAGTTCGGATAAAATTTGCTCACGAATTTCTTTCTTCAATGCTTCAACATCTATGACCCCTTGGGTCTTGTCCGTAGGGCTTGTCTGAGTCATTTGACTGCAGATAAAAAACAAAATTAAAACTTTAACCGATGTAAAATGAGCTTGTCAAAATCAGAGCGAGAGTCTATTATATTAAATGACGCCAGAGGAATACAACATCCTTTCTATTACGTAAGTCAGAGTAAAGATGGTAAAATATACGTAAGAAAAAGAAAGGTTCCATTAGCGAATGCAGAAAGCGACAACATTAAGGTGTATGGCAAGGGTGAAGTCCACGAAGCCCATTAAGCCTTCTATTCAAACTGAAAAGTCAATAGAACAAGAAGAAAAGAAGCCAGATGTACTTTCAATAACGAACCAAGAGCTTATTGCAAAGTTTGTGAATTTCATTGAAAACAAACCGAGTCAAAGAACCCTGACCCGCCAGTGAAAGAAGTTGAGACAAAAGAGAATGTACAGTTCATTGAAAATGTCAAGAAACAACTTCCACCACGAATGCCAAGAAGAAGAGTGAGAATAATGAAGTAAATAGATATTTTTATCCGAAGTAAATACATGCAGAACGAACAGTTAAACGAATTTACTCCAGCAGAGCATATTCATCAGATTCGCTCATATTTCGATATCATAGACAATGCAGTTCAAATTGGTGACACTAATAGAAAATATTCTGACGCAAAGATTCCATCACAACCTGGAACTGCTAAAGATAACACATGGGTAACATTCAATCTCTCACCTCCTGGTGAAAATATGTTGGACCTTTACAATACATTCATTACGTATAAAATGGAAGGTCAATTTATTGTAGATAAAGAAATTGGTTCAGGTTCCAATAAAACAAACCCACCAGGATTTTGGATTGGTTTCGATGACGCTTTCTATGCAGTTGCTGGATATCAAATCCTTGCAAATGGTCGTATCGTATATTCTCAAGACAACGCAAGAGAAGAAGCATATATAACTTCAAACTCACAAACTACCGAACAAATAAAGAAAGTAGATGTTTTCTCAAAGACTCGACATGAAGATGTATGGAGTCATTCGGGAACATGCAGAACAGGACAAATTGTTAGTGGTCCAATTACAGCAGGAAAATCATTTGATTTTAAGCTTCGTTTAAGAATTCCTGTTAGAAGATTCCTTCCATTAGAAGCTATTCGATTTATTCCAGCTTTTGCAGGAAACATTCAGCTTAAAGTAAAGTTCAGTAGCGACGCCTTACAATGCACATCTATATCTGTAAATGATATCATTGCTTTCAATCCAACTCTTAAAGTTGCATTTGCTTCAGATTCAAATCCACCGACAAATAAATTTGTTCCATGGAATGAACCATTCACTATGATAACGAAGGCAGTAGAAGCTAGTGGAACAGTTACTATTACAACTGTAACCCAGCAACTATTTCGAACAAAGATGGATTTTAATGAATGTTTCATTCATCCAAAGTCATTCTCTTTAGACCCTAACATTTATACAGAACTTGTAGAACATTATACAAACGAGGCTTTATGTTTTCCTGTTAAAGTTATGGATTGGATTCCTATGGACGGTTCATTCTCAAAGAATACAGATAGTTCAAGTGCAACATTTACAGCAGCTTATACGCCTATTAATGTTAAAAGTATTTGGGCACTATTTAGAAAGAAAGACAACTATTATGTTAATTTTGAGAACCCTAAGTTTAAATATCTTCAGCTTTCCATGGGAGCTTATGGAAATATGCCTGCAGAACCCGAAAAATCATATGGACCTGTATTTTATGAAATGGTTGCGAACGCTTGCAATACAAACAATGATATGATAGGATTTAATGAAGATGTTATGAGGTCATTGGTGGATGATGGTAGTGTGGAACATAAATGGGATAGTTATGACAACACACATTTCTTATGTGGTTTTCCAACAGAAGTGGACTTTTGCTTCCAGCAAGGTCAAACATCTACTGCTCCAATAACATACAAATTGTCTGTTAAAGGACCTATTGAACTAGCAACTGAAAATGTACCAAAGCCACTTATTGGATTTATGAGGGATTGTTGCTTTGCCATTCAGGTGCGTGCTAATGGAATCCCAATAATAAGATTAGATGACTATAACTTAGCTACGGACGACAGTGAGGAATAAAGGATGAACGTTTATTTTTAAAGCTTATAAATGAGTTCTTCATCAAGCTCTCGTGAACCTTCACCATCTATGAAACAAACTTTACCAAACGATTATGGAGCACCTATTGAATATTTCTTACGAGCTGCACAATGGCAAAGAGCAGTCTCACCAAGGTTAGGTGTTCCACCAGCTCCTGTCAAAAATAGCATTTGGTCAAGTCCTTATATAAAATATGGTCTCCCACTAGGTTTGCTAGCTACAGCAGGAGCAGTTATGATGTTGAAAAGAAATAAAGCAAATGTTGTAAATAATACTGAAGTAGCTGAAGTTAAACAAACTCCGACACCTTCACAAGCAAAACCTTCAATGACTCCTGAACCTATGGAAGTACAAACTCCTGTTCAAAAGTCAACTCCTAAACCGACTCCAACATTTAAACCAGAACCTACTCCTCAAATAAATCGTAAAACTCCTGCGTTTCCTTACTGAAAAAATAACGTTATTTTTATTTAATATTAAAATTTTTATTTGATTGAAATGACAAATAAAGTCACTGAAGCAATGAAACAAAAGTTTTTGGTAGAATACATTAAATCAGGAACTATTCCGGAAGGTTTTTACATTCATACTATGAAGGATGGTAGAGTTCAGTTTAGAAAGATAAAGCAACCATTAGATAGAGAAGGTATATTAGGAAGATTAAACTTCATGAGGACAACATTGCTGAACTTAGGAAGAAGTTAGAAGAGTTGGAGAAAGGAAGAGAGTTATAAAGCAATGAATTCAACAGGGTGAAAAAACAGGTGAAAAAAGAGGTGAGATCTCACCGCTTCACCTAAATTTATTTTTGCGCTATGTTTTCATACGTGTGGGAGTGGTGATATCATTTATTTTTTTATTTTATTTTTTATTTTATTTTTTATTTTATTTTTATATAAATGACGAAAACTATTGAGATAACAAACTACAACGGTCATGAGTTCAAGAATTTGTTCTTCGTTCCTCGTGAAAATACATTCTATCAGATACGAGGGAGAAAGGGTAAAGTTAGTTTGAGCGTTTATGACTACAAACATAATGGAGATTTATACAAGCAATACGATACAAACGGTAAACGTGTTTCATTAGCTTTGTCAAAACTTACTAACATTTATTTTGACAGTGAACTTTGACCTATATGAAGAAGAAAGTGAGTCAGAAGATTATGAGCTGTTATGTGAAGCACAGCAATGGGAAGCGCTGCAATACTTTTGTAAGTGAGAACGTTTATTTTTACAGTAGTGAAGTCATTTGTGAAAACGTTAGTGAAGTGAAGTGGTTGGCGGCTTTGTAAATATTTAATGTTAAGTTAGTGTTGTCGTTTGTGTTGTAAAATATATGTTAACGGTTTTATAAAGTGTCAAATTCACATATAATGGGTATGGTGGAACGCAGTGCCTCCGTACACATGATATGTATACTAACTAACTAACATATATAATTTGTGAAAAGTGACACATTATATCTTTCTTTGAGTTCGCTCCTGACAAAGAACTTAGTTCCAGGAATACAGAAGACTTCTGTGCGTTGGAAAAGCTGATGTCCTGGAACGAATTTGGCAATTAGAGACTTCTTTTTTCCGAATTGTTCAGGAGTTTTCATGACGACAGTAACAACATCTCCATCTGCGAGGTCTTGTTGTTGTTCGGAAAGGTAAAGAGCAATGATATGAATGGTTGCTGCGTTGAATTCGAGAAAGTCGAATTCAAATTGTGTTGTCGTATAACATTCAAACCATTTTGTACAGTTGTCTCCGAACTCGTCAACGTATTCATCTTCGTCATATCCGTAACTAAAGACTTGGAATTCGGCAATTCTCGTGTCGAATGACCGTTGGATGTAACGAGGAAGATTTTGACGAACTTGGTATAAAGTTCTCAACATTATAAGCTTAGTAAATGTTGGAAAATACTGAACTAAGACATCGCTAAGCTCAATTGGACTTGGAATTGTCTTAGTAAGTTCAATTGAACTAGTAATTGCTTTGTTCAGAACTTCACAGAACTGAGTATTGTATGTAGCGTCTGGCTGTGTGTTTTCTTCGGCGTCTTTGAGATATTTAGAGCAAATTTGTTGAAGAATTTCTCTTAATTCGCTGTTAGACTTTTTGGTGGTTATTCTAACCGCTGTGCCAGTTCTTGGAGGTTGTGGGGCTTTGGCTTTGGTTAGCGGTTGAGAATTGTTAATGTTTGAATTGTGGTTAACAGCGTTGGCTTCCATTAGATAAAAATGAACTGACCAAAAAAGACAGATATTTAAATATTTGAGATAAACCGTTTTCGTCAACGGTAACACCCTCTATTTTTTTATTTTATTTAATAGTTACCGTTGGAAAAACGGTTTATCTCAAATATTGAAGGAACTATTGTTGTAAACAGAAATTCATCAAAAGTGACACATCAGAAAAGCTAAAATATTGAATTTTTGGAACTTTTGATAGAGCACGTTTTTAAATATTAATTAAAGTAAATGTATATTTTGTAAAGATTCTTTTTAATAAAAAAATAAAATTTTGAAGAAGAACACAAAATCTTCTGAAAAATAATATCACATAAACTCATATTATTTTCTAATATATAACTATTTGATATAAAAATCAAATTCAATGATCTTAAAAGCGAAGGATAAACCTCAAAATTTACGAATATAATGAGTGGGAATATAATGCTTATCTATCATAAAACCATATGAAATATTAATTTTTGCTTTACGCCTAATTTTTGACGACAATTAGCAAAAAATGTTAAATGTTAACACTCAGTCCATTTGAATATGAAAAATAAAATTGACTTTGATTAAATGTTTTTATTTATCATGCAATTCTTCTTGCGACCAAAGATTTGAATAAAAGTTCAAAAAATAAGATAGCTTAAAAAATAATATACGGTAGTGTTTACTAATAGATGAATAGTATATAAATTCTATTAAAATGGATTTGATCCAAAAAAATATAAAACCAAAAATAATTGTTATAATTTAAATGAAGAAGTAATTTAAAACGATTTTATTTATGATCAAATTTTATATATTTTTTGGATCAGATCCATTTTAATAGAATTTATATACTATTCATCTATTAGTAAACACTACCGTAGATTATTTTTTAAGCTATCTTATTTTTTGAAATTTTATTCAAATCTTTGGTCGCAAGAAGAATTGCATGATAAATAAAAACATTTAATCAAAGTCAATTTTATTTTTCATATTCAAATGGACTGAGTGTTAACATTTAACATTTTTTGCTAATTGTCGTCAAAAATTAGGCGTAAAGCAAAAATTAATATTTCATATGGTTTTATGATAGATAAGCATTATATTCCCACTCATTATATTCGTAAATTTTGAGGTTTATCCTTCGCTTTTAAGATCATTGAATTTGATTTTTATATAAAATAGTTATATATTAGAAAATAATATGAGTTTATGTGATATTATTTTTCAGAAGATTTCATTCTATATGCCTATGAAAAGTACTCTCAAAACTAACTTTTCCTAATTATAATTAAATCTAGAATATTGTATTATGCTTAGTATTGTAATAAACAGAAATTCATCAAAAGTGACAGCTCTCAATTTTTTGACATTTGTAAATTCTAAATTGAATGAGAAAAATGAAATAATACTAAGCATAATACAATATTCTAGATTTAATTATAATTAGGAAAAAGTTAGTTTTGAGAGTACTTTTCATAGGCATATAGAATGAAATCTTCTGAAAATAATATCACATAAACTCATATTATTTTCTAATATATAACTATTTTATATAAAAAATCAAATTCAATGATCTTAAAAGCGAAGGATAAACCTCAAAAATTTACGAATATAATGAGTGGGAATAGGCGTAAAGCAAAAATTGATATTTCATATGGTTTTATGATAGATAAGCATTATATTCCCACTCATTATATTCGTAAATTTTGAGGTTTATCCTTCGCTTTTCAGATCATTGAATTTGATTTTTATATAAAATAGTTATATATTAGAAAATAATATGAGTTTATGTGATATTATTTTTCAGAAGATTTTGTGTTCTTCTTCAAAATTTTACTTTTTTATTAAAAAGAATCTTTACAAAATATACATTTACTTTAATTAATATTTAAAAACGTGCTCTATCAAAAGTTCCAAAAATTCAATATTTTAGCTTTTCTGATGTGTCACTTTTGATGAATTTCTGTTTACAACAGTATTATTTCATTTTTCTCATTCAATTTAGAATTTACAAATGTCAAAAATTGAGGGTTGTCACTTTTGATGAATTTCTGTTTATTACACTATAAACGTTTTTTGTTTTCTATATATACTTTTTTGTCCAACGGTAAAACTTTTTACACAACGGTTTTTGAGAGTCGTCGCCGTTGACTTTTTTGTAGAGCACTCAAAATAGTATAACTTTGTCCGGACAAGTAAGGGTCTATCGTCGCTACAGGAAAAGTTACAGGCGTTCCAAGGAAGTATACTTTGAGAAGCCTTTTTTCCCTTATAGAATGAGAGAGGACGGTTATTTTACAAAACTGACAACACTTTGACCGAGTAGTTTTTTGTGCTGAACAAAAAGTATCATATAAACATCTGTCAAAAACCGCTTTTTAACTTCACTTAAAATGCCACGTAAGCTACGTAAGAATATACGTAAGAGGAAGGGAGCATTGAAACATCCAATAGTAAAACTGACACCACAACAACAGTTGCAACAACAAATGATGAATGACCCCACTATGTTGCAACAAATGTCAAGCAACCCTATGCTTTTAAACCGAGTTATTGGTGCACAGAGTGGAGGTTTAAGAGCGGCACTTTTAGCGAAAATGGCAGGCTATGGTGGAGCTGCAGACGGAACAGCTTATAACCCTCAAAGTCAAATGAATTTGAGTTCACTCAAAAATCAAATAACAGATGTCAAAAAGTCAAACATAGACATACAGAAACAAATAAGTGAAAACGAAAAGAAACTAGAATATGACAGACACACAAAGAAACTCAATGAGTTAAACGTAGAGAAAAAGAAGAAAAGAAGAACAACTGAAAGAACTAAGTACAGAGGAATATGCGAAAAAAGTGTCAGAAAAAGCAGCAGAAGTAGCAAAAATGGAACAAGATGTTATAAATTTGAAAAACCATACTACTCAATATAAAGTACTGAAAAATGAAGAAATAAAACAAAAAGCCATGAAGACATATATGGATAGCGATGAGTATAAAAAAGAAGTTGAAGCAAATGTAAAGGCAGAAAAACTTTTACAGTTGCAAAACCAAACCGTACAGTATAAAAACTTAGCACAAGAAAGTAAAAATAACGACGCAGCCATGCAAAAGGCAATGAAAAGCGCAGATATTATAAAAGCTAATAATGACTGGTTAGATGCCCAAGCCAACGCTAAAGCAGCCCAACTTATAGGGTCAATAAGGACAAAAATACAAGCGGATGAAGACAGTTCAAATGAAGCTTTAATGAATACTGACTTTAAGAATGCCTTCGAAGCTCTTCATAGTAAGGTGAAACTAGTGAACGACTTCTCATCTGGAAAGAAACTGAAGTCTGAAGGTTTCGACAAAGAGTTAAGAGAAGTAGCACAAAATATGACGAAAATAACAGATGCAGCAACGAGACAGGCAGTTCAAAGTGCCTATGACGCCGTTAGAGCAGCTGTTGTGGAAAGTCAAGAAAAAGAGTTACAACAGACCAAAACAGACCTAGTAAATGCTTTCTTAAAAATGAAAAGTCAGGTAGGACATTATGCTGCAGATGGAACATATGTGCCAGCTGGTGGAACTTATATACCACCAAACCCTCCAAGAGAAGCACCTGCACCAGGACTACCTAAAACATTTACATCGTCACATGGACACAGACACAGGCATGCACCACAACAACAACCAACACAACAACCAACAGTTCAAAATCCAGCACAGCAACCAACAGTTCAAAACCCTGCACAGCAACCACAAACAGAGCAAAGACACAAAAGAAGTAGAGAAAAAGGAAACCAAGAATTCTTAAAAATGCTTAAGGAAGATTATGGTTACTCAGATACTCTTGACTTTAGTGACAAATATAAAGAAGCTATTAGAAAGTTCAAGGAAGGAAATACTGACCCGAACCTATTTAGCTTTATGGTTCAGCATAAAATCGGATATAATCTCAAACCTGGAAAATACAAGCTCGCAAAGGGATATGATTTAATAGCATATCATCCAAATGACATGAATGAATTTACTCCGAGATATTTGATGTCAGAGCTAAATGATAATTCAACTCTCTTCATGAAACGCGTAAAAAATAGAGACGGAACGAAAGAAGAAAGGTTTATGAGTCCGGATGACTTAGATAGGGAACTTGTTAAAAACGGTCTCAGAATATATGAAATGCCACCAGATGAGGTACAAGAAACTCCACAGGAAGAAGTTCAGATACAACCAGACATGAAAGAAATAGTTCAGCAACAACAGCTAGAAGAGCCTGAAGGAAACGAACAAGTCCCTCCTTTGGAAACTAACTTCACAGAACTAGATGAAGATTTGGAACAGCCGAAAAATCTTGACCCTCAACAAGAGTATGAGGTGAATATGGAATCTTTCCAAGAGTCTAAGAAAAATTCGGCTGACATAGTAGAAGGATATCGAAAAATGTTCACCGACATACAAAAGACTCCAACATCAGATGAAAATATTCAGCATAGAATGGAAGTACTGAAAGAAAATGTACGCAAATACAATAATCCTTTTTACTTACGACCATATAACGTTCAATCTTTGGCTGAACTCGGTGAAAATAAAAGGTTAAATTTCAACAAAACATATAGAAATGAAACATTGTTTAAAGTTCATTCAGAACCTAACCAATATGGAAACAAACCTACTTTTGTTTCTGCAGACTATGGAACTACAATGAGATGGGGTCATAAAGCTAATCCGGATAGGTGGTTCATAAACTTACAACCTCAATTCCAAGAAGTTGTAGACGCAATGGAATTGAATGGTGAACCAGATATAACTGGTATTTTCAGCGCGGCTTTAATGCCATTGAAAGATATGAAAGGTGCAGATATTTTGGACCGGTATCAAATGAACATGGCTGAGGGAAATATAACACCTGACGTTCTAGAACATTTATCTCAAAGAACTACACAGAACCATAGAGATGGTATATTTGGTGAAGAGTTTAGAAAGAAGTTAGGGAGAGAGAAGGAAGAGAACCTATTGTACATGACCTTGCAAACGAAAGTTTGCAAAATGTCATAAAACTTACTTTGCAGACAATGAACTGAGAAGGGAATGAATATTTAAGAAAACTCAAATGGACAGTACCAAATGAAATGTTAGTATTGAAAATGTTCCATGACAAAATAAAACCAACTACAGAAATAAATGACGCAAGACTGAAAACGTTGGGTAAAAGCTTCCATTCACAAAAGATATTATTTTTACATGGAAAGAAAACCAGAATGGCTACAAAAACATATATTTGGAAACGAGCTTATTCCATATGGACAAGCTATATTTGAAGATCTTGAACCGGAAACTCAGGAAAGAGTCATGCAAACAATAAGCGAAGACTCAAATACAAACTATGAACAAAATCTTTCTAGGATATAGGTTACCTGAGATGGGCGACCAGAGCCCAAAGGCAAAAAGGACATGGGAAATTTACAAACATACTAGGTGAACATGAGGCAAAGATGCTACAACTTGAAGCAGAGGGCAAGTTACCAAAAGCGACACCAAAGAAGAAGAGAAGAGTAGAACAAAGTGAAAGTAGTGAAGAAGTAACTTCATCTAGTGAAAGTAGTGGCAATGAAGGAAAAGAAGAGTTAAAAACTCAGTCAGGAAGAAAGTAAAGCTTGGTACGAGTGGGTTCTATTATGACACATAAATCCAACTATTCTATATTTTTTACCCATATGAAATGTACGCCGCTCAGAATATAACGCCAACAGTTTTTGGATGCCATGAACGGAAATGTTTCCGAATGGTATAACGAATGCGACAATGCCATTAGAAGGTCAGAAAAGTTCCTGGAACTTACGAATATACAACTGCTGTTTCTTATGGAAACGTAGGTGAGTTTGGAGAAGGTTCTTCAACAACAGTAGTTATTGCTTGCGACAGGTTTCATATTATTTCTATTGACAACTCATTCTTATACGTGGAACAAGACATTGAAATAAAACCTTCTGCCAAGTTGTCTGACAAGAAAGGTTGCAATGGAATTTTCTATGTCGGATACCAATATGCTCCAGAAGTTTTCATGGGATATAAGATATATTCTAACTCTGACTTAGTTCAAACAGTAAATGGGCAAACTATGAATGGTTCGCTTTGAGAAACTCAGTACAACCACAAGCTAGAGAACAAACAGACCAGTATGCAAATATTGAGAAAATAAGAAGACTTGACCCTAACGTTCCAGGAGTTTATGTTAACCTTTCTGGACAAACTGCAGCAGCAGTAACCAAAGTAAAACTGAAACTTAGAGTTCCTTTGTCATCTTTCCTCATCTTCAGGTTTTTAAGATACTTGCCAAACTGGGCAGGAAAAATTTCTATCGAACTTACTCCAAGCAAAAATAACTTAGTCATTGCACCAACACAAGACCCATTCACTATTACAGACGTAAAGGGAACAAATCAAACGTCATTCGCCGAATTTTGCAAAGACAAAGTTGACTTAGACTTTGGTTTCTCAAACTTCAACAATGAAGTAAACTATTATTTCAATGCTGCTGGAACTGCTTGGGACCCAGTTAAGTTCACATGCGAAAAATTTGAATGCAAGAGAATAGAAAGCAGACTTGCAGTCTATATGTTTGACCCAGATATTTCAAATGCTTTAGCTGCCAAATATATTGCAGTTCCACTTATGTTCCCTATACACCAAATATCTGTCAAAGATTTTGCAGGTGAAGTTGGAAACCAAAATCCAGGAACTCCTGGTAGCAGAACAGATATTGCTTTAACAACTGCAATGAAACATGCAGATACTATGTTTGTACTGTTCAGACGAACTATAAATGACTATTCTTGTTTCTACAACCCTGGTATTAAATATCATATAAACATAGATGGCAAATATTATCCAAGAGAAGAATATTCTACAGTTGAGGATATGAGGTCATACAACTTGACATTAGGTGCTATGAACTTTAACAACAACTTCACAACAACTATTAACCATGAAATGCAAAGTTCTATTATGCCATATGTGAAAGTATGGACTCATACAGGAGGTCAAAAAACTCAATATACAAATGGAGACCGTTCAAACTTTTGGCTTGGCATTCCATTTGCTGACTCAGAAGACTTTATGGGTGGTATTTCAACTGTTGGTACAGTTCAAATACAATATACTGGTGACAGATACGGTCCAGATGAATTGAGAGCAAAGAAGTTTACAAAACCAATAGCACTTTTCACGGAAGATGCTCTTTTGAAGATTCTTTCGATGAAACCTGCTGGAGCTCCTCAGATTGGCATAACGACAGCTTCCATCGAGCAGATTTGGCAGCAGGTCAGTAAGTTGTTCTTGAACTGACTTCTCTCCGTCAAATATTGACAGTACGCCAGTTTTGACATAATATTGTATTATAACTTTCCTTTAGTAATATCGGTCAGTTTTGAAGTTATATTTTTGTCTGCTTCAAGAACTTTCACCATTTCAGTTATACCAACTTTCTTTGCTTTATGAAAATATTTAGGTTCAGCAAAGACTGCTATTCTATAACATTTTCCATTGTTTGTGTAAAGAACTATTCTGTCAATGTATTTGTATTGTTTGTGAGTATAAACTTTGTTCTGCTTCAATTCAATAAGATATCCGAATACGTCCATCTTTTTATTCTAAGTAAAATGTCATTTCCGAAAAATAGAAGCGTAAGTGTTTCAAAAGGTTTAATGGCGGTGGCAGATGTGAAGTTAAATTCACCAACTCAAACAAACAGTCAAAGTGTTGTTGTCAATGTCAAAGACAGAGATGTTGAAGTGGGGAAACCATACAAAGACGAAGATGGTATATAACAATTGTTCCTGTGTAAAAGAATCTATCCTGAAGTTAACAGAGACTTAAGTTTCTGTTGCAGATATTCGAAACGACTACCAACAACTGAAAGACAAACTTCAAACTCAGGAGAAGATTTGTCAAGCTTTAAGTATAATGTTAAACTTGGTCGAACACAACCCTGTAAAAGTGAACTCATATGTCATTGCACCTCATGAAGTTTTGAAAGAACTATTGAAAACTTTTGACAGAGGCAGACGATATAAACATCAAAGAAATAGAACCCGACATTGGTTGCTGTGGTGTTTCATATAATGTCATTGACAAGATATACGTTATGAAAGGAGGTGAAACGTTGAACTTAAAATATAGTTTCCCAGACGTTATAAAATATTTGACGACCACAACATTTCATTAAAATTTATTTGCTAAGTAAATGGCAGAAGACATAATGGTTTATACTATTACGACTAAAAACCCTGAGTCATATAATTCTATAACAACAAACTTACAAAGTCCTCAAGGACGATATTGTAAACTAACCTTAAACACAATGACGACTAAAGCCTGTTTTGCTCTTTTGACACCAGAAGACTTTATTGTTGTGAATGGTAAAAAATACTCCTTTGAAGATACTTACTCAGATATACCACCAACAGGTTTTGTTGACTTATTTAATACTTTAAGTACGGGTGTAACACGTGCTGCAACTAGAGCAGGTTTCATTATGTTTGGATGTCCGACTGAGTTTACTATAAACGATATGAGCTATAATACAAAACTTATTTCTGGTTTTTACTACCAACAGTTTCCTATAACAGGAAAAGGTGTCATACAAGGAATGTCTATTCCATTGACATTAAGCACACCAATCTTATATATTGTTTCAAACTTAGGTTAAAGTGTTATTCGAATATCGACAGAAACTATTATGACCAAAAGATACTTATGCGTATAAACAATACTTTCTCTGCTGGTTTGCCTATTGTTCATTCGAATGCAGAATTTTCAACCTTAGTGAACTCAAACACTTTGGCAAGTATAACGTTGACATTAGTTGACGCAAACTTTGTTCCTGTAAAACTTTTATGTCCTATGTATTTGTCAATGACGGCAGAAAGTTTCGAATTGGAAGATGCAACTGGTGAAAGTATTGTATTACAAGAACAACTTCAACAACAAATAGCTCAGAACAACAAATGCAACAAATGGAACAACAAAGTCAAGAATAAAAAAATAATATTTTTTTTTATTTTTATAAAAATGTACAGAATAGATGTTTCAGATTTTTATGACTTCCAAGCATTCAGAAATATGTGTCCATTTAGAGACTATAACAAAGCAGTCGAGAATTTGAAACGTTTAGTCATTTATGTTGACTCTGCCCCAGAATGTTATGTCATGAAAGAATGGGATGTTGTCTTAACAAACCAAGAGCAACAATAGTTTCAGAACAAGAATGTAGACAGAAACTTAAGAAAATAAAAGTCGTACAAGTTGGCATGAAGATGTTAGATGCTTAGGATATCTTATTGTCAAAACTTGAAGATTTTTCAGTTCGTGGTATAAAATTTTATACACCTTCTCCAAACTTCTATTCTATCTTCACTGGATATAAATATGAACAAGTAGAATGGAAAGAAAATATTATAGAAGCTTGGTTAGACCATGTCAAAGAAATTATATGCAATGGAAACGAAAAGGTTTATGAGTATATCTTATGTTGGTTTGCAAACATCTTACAACATCCAAGTGCTAAAAATGAAACTGCTCTCATTATAATTGGAAAACAAGGAACAGGTAAGAATACTTTCTTTACAGATATTTTGTGCAAACTGTTAGAAGGTTATTCGAATCCGAATATGACAAACTTAGAAAACATCTGTGGCAAGTTTAACTCCTCAATAGAGAATATGAAACTTATAGTTTGCAATGAACTTCAAAGTATAGATACAACAAAAGTTTTGAACTCAGATGCTTTGAAGAGTCTTATAACAGACAAAGTTGGTGTGTGTTGAAAGAAAGTATAAAGACCAAAGAGTTTGTGAAAATGTTGCAAACTTCATTATGGTTTCAAACAATGCTGTTCCGATGAAGTTAGAAAGTTCTGACAGAATATATGTAGTTGTCAGAACGTCAGATTCTCATATGCAAGATACAGAATATTTTGACGACTTAGCAGAAACTTTGACATCTGACTTTTACAACCACTTGTTCTCATATTTCATGACATTAGATATTTCTAAGTTCAATCCAAGACAAATTCCACATACCGAAGAGAGACAAACATTGTTAGAAGCAAACAAGAGTGTATATGAACTGTTCATAGAAGAAAGCGACTTTGAGTGTTTAGATGAAAAGTCTTTATATGATGAATATAAACAATATTGTCAAGAGTATGGTTATATGCCAGCGTCTAAACGAACATTCTTGGCAAATGTCAAAAGTCTTTTAGACGTACAGAATGGTGTATATACAAAGAAAAATTTTTCTGAGTAAATTTAAAAAAAATATTTTTTTTATCCGATAGAAAAGATGACGAAATATATTTCAGTAAACAAGTACATGTCAGGACTTAAAGAAGAACTAGACCCATTCACATATTTGAATGTTTACTTCTACCATTTTGAAAAGTCTTCATTCAGCAAAGTTTGGAACATCGAACCAGTTAAGTTTGCTATTGTGACTAAAAATGGTGGAAATTTGAAGACTTAGACATAGAAGGTTTGTTAACAGTCAAAGAAAGTTTTGACAGAAGGTTCTCAAACCTTAAAGAAGGCAAAGCATACAAACTTGTTATACCTTATGAACCAAAGAAGACAGACGACTATGAATATTATGAGTCTAAAGTTGTAGAAGTTCAAGGTAAATTGGGTAAAAAGATTTTAGAGTCTAAGCCAGTGTTTACTCCTAAAGAGGAAGAGAACATTGACATTGACCGAAAATGTTCTAAAAATAAAATTTTATTTTACATGTCAAATTTCTTTTTCTCTGGAACTGGTTCAGGTTTTTCTTCTCTTCTACTTTTTTCTCTTTCTTTTCTTTTCTTCTTCTTCTCTGGTGGAGATATGTCAAATTTCTCAGAACCATATCTATGTAAAAGTTCTTTGTCCTTTAATAGCTCATCTATTTGTTTTCTATTTCATCTTCAAGAACACCGCATGTGTCTTCTTTGCATTCTAAGAACTTTTGTTGGACTTCATCTTTCCAATCGGCGTCATCTCTGTCAACAAGTCGTATTGACAAATTTTAAGACTGCTCTTTGTAATGTTTTATGGTTCTTGTCATATTCCCAGAAACAGAACTTTAGAACAAATTCACCTTTCTTGTTTACACTATGTAAGATTTTATGGTCGACGATGATGTTTTGCTGTCAAAAAGTTTGTCTCGAATATAGATAGCGAAATCGCTAGACATTTTTTAAAAGATAAAAATTTTAATTTTTCTAAAAATATGTTAGAAAAAAAGTTTGCTGACATTGACAAAAAATTTGAGAATGTTTTAAAACAAGAACAGAGGAAGTTAGAAAATGCTCAGATAAAGCCTATACATGACAAGTTCTTATTTGCTCAGAATGGTATAACAGGTCTAATTGCACCACCCGGGTCTGGTAAGACTTTCACTTATCTTAAAATGGCTGCACAACAACAAGAACTAGATGAGAAGAACCCATTCTATGAGTTAGTAGTCATTTGTAGTACTTCTGGTCAATTTGACCAAACCGTCAATTCGTTCAAAGATATTATAAAGAAGTCTAAGTTAGTATGTATAAGGATACTGAGTTGTTAGATTGGATAAAGAAGTACCAAAGAAGAGTTTTGAAGTATAATGCTATAAATGAGTATATAAATTCTAAGTTTAAAGAACCTAATGAGGAAATGCAGAGAATATTAGACAAACACCACTTCAGAAACAAACAGAAAGAGATAGAATACATTTCGAAGAAATTGCAATCTTACGATTGGAAGACTTACCCTCATAGGTGTCTTCTTATCTTAGACGACTTTGCATCTCATCCTTTGTTAAAGAACAGAGAACAAGATATGTGTCGAATTCTTAAGAAGCTCAGACACTTTAACATCTCAGTTGTCATTTGTGTACAAACAGCAAAGAGTTTAAGTAAGGATGTTAAAAGAATACTTACTGACATAATACTTTTTCCCGGATTGTCCGAAGACGATTTCATGGAACTTATGAAAGAGTCCATGGCAGGTAAGTTTGACAGACATGAACTATGGGAGAAGTACAAAGTCATACAAGACCCTCATACTTCTTTCAGAATTCATATCTACGCAAACAAAGTTCAAATTGTAAAAAGTCAAGCTTGAAAATTCATTATTTTTGTGCTGAATTCAATAAAAATATATTTTTAGGGTAGATGGGTATATCTAACCCGATTTCTAACCTCATTTCTACCCTCATGAATTTTCATGAATTTTATATATTAATGTTTTCGTTAAGCCACTTTGTGCCGTCAGTCAGTTAATGAAATTTACACCAAAAATATATTTTAGGGTAGATGGTTAGATCTAACCCGATTTCTACCCCAGTTATTTTATAAACGTTTTACATGGTAAACGTTATGAATTCGTGAGATTCTAAACAGTTTTGTAGCTTCTATTTCTTCGCTGAGGATATCAAAAATTTTAACAATGCCGAAGGTTTCTTTATACTTCTTCTTGACGTCAGATAATAGGAAATCGTCAGCAGTTGGATAGTTTTTGTTCAGAAATGCTAACATGTCCATTTTATTTTCTGCTGGTTTTTCTGCTTCTTTCTTTAAGTCTGCATAGTCGTTTCTCATACGTTCTATCTCTTTGACGGAGTAGTTATATTTCCTCATTGCTGCTTTACATTTCGAACACTGAGGATTCATTTTTGCGTTATATTCTGAAACCTTACCTGCTAAAACAACTAAGACGTCAATGGTTTTCTTTAAATCTGAAGCAGTTGGTTTTATCTGTTCATGCCATACCTTACCTCTTCTGTCTTTATCTCTTATCTGCCATACACATTTTGCAGCTAATGAAACAAAGTTATCGTATGTCTTAAACTCCACCGATTTATATATGTCAGAGATGTTCTTATATACCATGTCGCAATCTTTGTCCATAACTTTATGGTTGCAATGATATCCTAGAAACTCATAATTTACCTTTCGTATGAACTTCTTTATTTCTACTGAGTCAGTTGGTTTCACTTCTATTTCATCGAATTCAGGAATAGTCGGTTTCTGTTGTTGGATTTCAGGCAATTTGGGTAAATGGTCAATAATGTCCTGCATGTCATAAAGATATTCTTCATTTTCTTCATCCTGTGCGGTACAGTCTAAATTACTTGTTAAAAGTTCTTGCTTTATTCTTTGTATTTCTGTTCCAAAACTATATGAAGAAGGAATGAAGTTTTTCATCTCTACTAACATAGATGTTGGATTCATGACTAATGAATTTGGTGAAGTTGTTTGAATTGTTGTTGTGCCGATTGTTGAAATCATATCTTTTATACAAAATAAAAAAAAATAAATAAAAATAAAGTTAGTTTTATTTTTTATTTCGGGAAAATTCATGAAAATTCATGAGGGTAGAAATCGGGTTAGATATCGGGTTAGAAATGAGGGTAGATATCGGGTTAGATCTAACCTTCTACCATAAACATTATTTTTTGGTCCGGGAACAACTTTCTCTCAATTGGAGCTGTAGCATACTCTTTGCGTAAGCGGTTCAGACCTTCTTCGAAGTCTTGGTCTCTCTTCGATTGAGATTGGAATTGGAATTGCTGGGGTGGAGCTTGCTGGAACAACCAAGGGTTGGGGAAGTAAGGCATAGGCTGAGGAGGGTAGTTCGGGAAACCTTGTGGTGGGTAGTAACCTTGAGGTGGAAATTGGTAGTAATTCGGAGGTACTTGCTGGAACTGAGGTTGCTGAGGAGACTGTTGTGGTTCTGCAGCTTTCGGTTCTTCTGGCTTTGGAAGGCATTCAGGAAGAGGAACGTCAGTCATCCGTTTGTGTCCTGTCGGAAGGAAGAACTTTTTCTGTCGGAAGGAAGAACTTTTTCTGTCGGAAGGAAAAACATTTTCTGAAGTTCGACCAAAAAGTTCTCAATTTTCGAAAATTTGAATGGTTTACGGACGGACAACTGGAAGAGTTCTTCCTGTTGTCGGGAAAAATTTTTCCCTTTGTCGGGAAAATATTTCCCTGTCGGATGGAAGAACTTGGAATGCAAGAAAGACTTCCTCAGGCAGAATGTAAAAGGCAAACTTGTTAACGGTTGGATAACGGGAAGGGCTGCCTTGAATCTCGAGATTTCGACTGGAATTCCAATTGAGGTACCAGAAGGCACTCCTTTCGACGACATAAAGCAAGCAAAGAAAGAAGCTCTTCTCAAGTTCTTTGCAAAGCGCCCATGGATACAACTTCCAAACAGAGAGAGTCCAATTCCACGAATTATACAAATTCTCAAGGGTCTCCTTCACTTCTCTGGTCAACCATTCTTTATAACTACAGAAGGCGACATTCAGCCAGTTCAGTAAACATCTTATTTTAACTCACTTTTTTATGTTTTTTGTGAAAGTGTCAAAAATAAATTGTTTTCATGAGTTTTCTACGATGTTAGAAAAAATGTTATTTTCTAATATCTTCACATTCAATACTTTTTCAGCACTTTTCCGTAGTTATATATGAAAGACAATTCGAGATAAAAGTCATAGTACAATGGAATAATATGTTGCACACCATTTGTTGTGAACCAAACTTGAAAGTCAGAGAAACTGTTACTAGGTGGTTCGTAGAATTTAGAAGCAAAGTCATAAAGGTCCTTACCAATACATAGAAAACTATTGTTGCTTGAACTGAAACTTGCATGACACATAACATTTTGAGGGTCAAACACGTTTCTATAAACCATCAAATCTGCTGGTGGAAGTATAAATTTAAATGGACCATCTGGTGGTAATGGTTCGTTCTGGTTTAGTAACCGAAGAAATTGTGCCAAGAACGTTGTCTACTTCCAAAAATAAAAACTCTGTATCTCTTGGAGGGTTAATTTCAATCTTTTGAAATGAAACGGTGGAGTTCATCTTGTCATATTCTAGTTTCAGATAGTATGTTCCATTTAGTAAAGAGTCGTATTTTTCTTGAAATTCCCAATAATATTTGTTCATTTGAGTTTGAAAGTCATCTAGAGTTTTCTCAAGACTTTCGTCTGAACGAACTGTAAAGATTCTCATTTCGTCAAATTTGTCTATTAGACCATCAGGACCTTCATACTGCCCATGAAATATACTGCGAACATAAATGCGTTAGTTCTATTTGAAAACAAAACTCTTCTAAATCCTATTGCCTTTGCATCTGAAGGACTTTGAAGCCAACGAATTGGATAGTCAAACCTGTATGCTCGGGATGAATTTCTTCATCTGAAATAGTCCTACCAGCATTTGTAAAGATATAGTCTAACGGTTTTGTATCTGCTACTTTTGTTCTTTGTTTTTCAACCTGAAGCATTTAATATATGTAAAAATATATTGTTTAAAATGGTATGCCATATAGCTTCTTGAATTTGTTAAAAAGTATTTGAACGTATTTTCCATCTGTATCTCTAGTGTTTACATAAGCATAGCCCGCCTTAGTAAAATATACTTGTAATTTCCTATAGTTTACACCGGTATAAAAGTAGAAAGAGTCTTGTTCTTCGCTATATAGTAAAACTCAAACGTATGCTTGCCATAGTCTGTAATTTCAATTGTTTCATCTTCTAGTTCGTCGACAAATTCGAATACAATATCTCCAAATTTGCCTTTGTTCTTATTGTTTTCAGAACGAGTGACCCAACGTAAGTTTTCAAGTCTATTGTCGTTTCTTATATGGTTTATATGGTCTACAAAAGGTAAATTGTTAGGATTCAGTATAAAATGAGTTGCAATGACAACATGTTTAAGATAGTGTTTTCCACCCATCTTCATAATAGCATATCCGTCATTTCGCTCCCATTCGCTTAAAACTCTTTTTGTCTTTTTGTTTCTGACTTCAAATGACTCACAACAGTGAATTTCATATTTCTCATCTAACAAACAAGTTTCCCAATGGTCTTCTCCAACAAACTCAGCGTACATTTCAAATAAAATAAAAAA